GCAGAGCAAACACTGGAGTGATCACTCCAATGTTAGTACTGTGTGTCCCCAGGAAGTACTTTACATTGCTTCCTGTTCATTCACGAGTTTCGCAATGGGGAGAAGCACTCTGTACAGAGGCTTTTCCCCATTGAGAATCTGCTTGATAGTAAATATCTCACTTTCAGCAGTTTGTGAATGAATGGGAAGCCTCTGTACTGAGTGAGTCCTGAGGCTGCAGAAAAAGACATTGAGGACTCTGTGTCTTTTTCTATTTCAAAAGGGAAATGTCAGGGGTCTGTTTAGACCCCTAATATTTCCCTGAAGTGCGTTGTGATATCTTGTGTTGTAATTAAATATACACCTGTATCATTTTATCGCAACACCAACACAGCGCAAAAAACATAACATAAATTGCTTATTTACAGTTTAGCGCTCCTTCATTGTTTTTATAATCCCCCTTTCCTCAGCCTCTCATTGGTGTGGGAGTATTAAAGTAAAGTGTTAGGCCTCATTCAGACCAGGGTGGAAGCATTTCACCACATGATTTTTGAAAGAGCATTTCTGGCTGTTTTTAGTCACGTTTCAGCGCTAAAACGCAATTAAAAACGCTCAAAAATGTGCTGATTAGCGCATTTCTATTAAAATGTGGTAGGGGGTGGGGGGGCCTTACAAAATTTTGCTCTGGGGCCCCGAGATTTCTAGTTATGCCCCTGATACCAGCTGTTACTTTTTATGTGAACAATAGTCAGATACTAGTTGGTGTGGACAAGTATTCCAGCTGAAGTTTTTATGTGTTTATTTTTTTATTAAAAAAGCTATGTAGACATGCAGTGGTCATCAACACATTTCCTCACACGAGAGAATCTTTCTCTTCAGTTGTGCTGATAACCAAATTGTTTTTACATTGCAATTAAACTGGAAAAAAAAATAGGTTTCTAATCCAAACCCATAAATTGCTGACAGTGGCTTTAGTAGCAAGAAGCAGATGATTAGAAAGGAAAAACTTGGCAGACAAATACTGCCTCAAAAGTCTCTTTAACTTTACATAAAGCTTTTTACACAAATGCAAACTATAGACCAACCATTGTAGTATCTACTGTTTAAAAAAAAAGGGCAGGCAAATTCTCAGATGACATAACAGAAATCAGAACATGGAAGTCCTTCAAAAGTTTGCAGAAGTCAACAGAGCCAGGAGAAGTGTCAACTTCCATCACTGTGACAGAGCAGAGTCCTTATCTTTTGCTTTCTGCATTGCTTCTCTGAGTGCAGCACTTCTTTGCTTGTCAATCATTTCCATCTCTCGCAGCATCTGCAAGGGAAACAACATATTTATGCATTTCTGGTTTAGTTTGCTATACTCCTTCCCAAAAAGCAGCAATACCTGTTACACCATGATTCCCCTGACATTCTTTCATATAGTTGTTGTTACCTGTGAAATTTCGGTGTTAATAATGTTGTAATATTGTCTTCCTCGACCCAAAGCTTCCATCTCTTTTAAGAAATCCCATCTCTCTTGCATTTCTGCCACCACTGTAAGGAAAAAACGGTCAGCAATTTCTAATACCACAACATCAGCACAGTTACTTCTTACTTCAGTGCAAGGAACTTACACTCATCGAATCTGTCCCTTTCCTCTGTTTCAGTCTCCACTGTTTGTGGCAGTGCTTGGGGGATGTCTGGCAGATCCTTTCCTGTGGCCATAATGTTTTGTAATCGCATCTTTTCCTTGTTCAAGTCACCTGTGGATGAAATGATTTACACACAGTAATAAGTGCATCTTAAAGTGTACCTTAAAGTGATCCTATAAGGGAGTTAACATATATTAAAAGAACTAAACTGAAGAAAGCAGCATTATACTTACTCCCAGCAACCATCCCACATGACTCCTTGGCTGGCCGAATAGTGGATCCCCCTACTGGCTGTGGTGGTTCCTTCTGCTGACCCCTAGTCACTGCAGTACACATTAGTGAAGTAGAGGTTGACGGGAGGAACTACAGTGGCCAGAGGGAGAGCTGCTATTTTACACACCTGGAAATGAAGAATAGGCTCGGTGCCAGGAGCTCTGCTGCACAGTGAGATTTTAGCAGAAGAGCCAACGGACAGGTATGTATAATTCCTCTTTTTAGGATTGTATAATACCACTCTTTTAAAGATGGCATTAAAAAGATATTGGGGGAAAAAAAGTATTCTACCTTTATTGTAAACAAACCGGCATTCTTCTAGAATGCTATATTTTGGGACCTACAATTTAATGGTAGAGGGGATAATTTTATCAAACAGATTTTATTTATTGATTGGTTGTGTTTTCTGTTGTTACTGGAAGTAGTTATCAGGAAACCAAACAAACATCATAAACAATAAAAGTATGCAAAAACATGAAAAAGACATTAAAAAATATACAAACAGAAATTGTAAATAATTTTATGTTTATGAATGGATTTGTGTTTGTAAGCAAATCCATCTATAGTCCCAGATGAAGTCAATTGTGACGTAACGCGTAGGGCAGAGTCTCGCAGACGTGGATTGGAGATTGCATGGTCGGCAGCACAGCTCCTGTTTGACCCGTATTTGCACCCAGAGAGAGTTGTCGAGCATACATTTTATTTGAAGTTTTATGTCTACTTTCCTCATGTGAGTAGTTTTTTAAATAAAGGAGGTTTTTTTAATTTTGCGGTTTTACGCTATGGGCTGGTTTTATATTTTATTGGATATGTTCGTGATGACACGCTGACGTCATTTTCTGTGCAATGATTGTGGAGAGATGGCCTTTGAATAAGATCGTTTGGAGACCCATTAAAGCGATTCTAGACCTGTTCAGGTCTATTTATAAGGTGAGCGGCCCACTGAGAGGGGGAGCACCTGGGTGATAATTGGAGTTGACGTATGGACTTTGTACAAAGAACTTTCACGGTGGAAGGATAAAGAGTGTGGTGCACTAGGGACAAATTCTGAGCACTATATACGTGTGATTCCACATTTGTGTATATTTGAACACGGAATATATGATTGAACTTTCCAGAGGACTATTATTTATAAGAAGATTCATTGTGAACACTTTTTTGATTGCATGTATTATTTAAGCACATATTTATTATAGAGATTTGTTTATGTATTGTTCTAGATGAAGTGCAGCACATTCATTATAATTTAAATCCAAAGCCATTCATACCAGGAATCTCTAAAGGCTCCTACTATGTTAGAGAGGAGTGATCTAACGGGGAGATGGCCAGGACAGGAGCAGTCGGAAACAGGTAGATGGGACTGGCCAGGAACAAATCAACATTGGGAAGAGGTCACTGAGAACTGAGCATATTTGGGGAGAGTAGTCAGGAACTCGGCGTATTTGGGAAGAGGTGATCAGGGATAGAGAACTGCAGCAGTAAGGTGCAGGGTAAGCAGATCCTGCAAAATCCCGATCGGTCAGCGCTCCTTTATAAATCAGCTGGCTTTCGTTACAATTATACAGGAGCAATCACAGCAGCTTTTGTACAAAGCAGTAGGATTGTTTATATAGGAGCTCTGTCAGTACCCCTGAAACAGACCAGAACCCCACTATCATTTTGACAGCTGAGTCCCAGCAATTTCAAAAAGTAATTGGCTCCCTTCTGGCCAGAACTAGATCACACAAAATAACAGGCGAAGCTTACTAAAAGGGTTTCACTTCTCTTCTTCAGATGGTTTTCAAATCTAATATAACTTTGAACTTAATGCTAATTTGAAAATGTTCAACCATTCCCCTCTTGCTGCAGTTGGAGGTGGCAAAAAGGTAGGGAAAATGCTAAAAATAATGTTTGAGCGTTTCCTTACTTTAAATAGTGTGAAAACCCTAACAACAATGGACATTTCAACACGGAACATCTCTTACCTGCTCCCTTCTGGGCTGTTAAACTGTTTAAAGTGTTCTGTTGTAACTGTTTAAAATGTGAAAAATATTCCTGTCAACTCTGCCAGAAATCTAGAGATCTGATCACTTCCTGTGCGCTCTGCCTCTGCTGCACATTATCAGTTTGTATTGCTTCTGGTTCTCTCTGTTGACTACAGAACATCTCCCCCATGTTATGGAAAAGGGGAGGTGTTCTGTGGTCCAAACTCCTGTCCTGTAGTTCAACCGGGCTTTAAACCTAGAGTATCAGGAAATGTTTTATGCAGCTCTAAATCTAACAGAGGCCTTAACCCACCCATAATATTACCCGGCAGTGCAAGTTGATCAACCAACATTGTTATATACACCCTCTGTTCCCTGCTAGTTATCTCTAAGCAATTTTAAAAAATCCATATGAATAATTACTCACCTAAAGGTCAGATAAGTGCCTCAGTTCAGCTAAAAGGACTATAGCAAAGGGCTGATAAATAGGATTTTTATACCCATTGTAAACTCCTTTCCATGTCCATTGAGGCACGCAGCTTCATGATAAGTAACCTATGGTTTTACTGCTGCCCACATGAGAAATAGACACCAGGCACAAAGCCAAGGCTAGTCCTTCCTACCACATACCTGCTCGGTTGTAGCAGGTAGCCTGAAGGGAGAACAATATACGAGGGGAGGGAGCTGTGTCCCTCAATGGCTTCTAAGAAAAGGATTTTATGTTGAGTAAAAGAATCCTATTTTCTCATTTGTCGTCCATTGAGGAACACAGCTTGATGATAATAGGCAACCTAGGAATGTTTAATAGCAATGCAAACTGAGAGGAGGGCACAACAAAAGAAAACGCAGGCAAACCAGCCCAACGAGAAAAATGTCAAGATTTAATGAAACCGAGGGCATTAATAAAGTCCCTTGCTATGACTGCGGAAGCCGGAGAACCTCTTTTAGGTCCCTATGGAATAACAAACAAACAAGGAATCTGCGTAAAAGAAGTGGTGGCCAAAAGATGTCCCAAAAAGGTTTGAAAGAGGTCCAATAATACCAACAAAAATAATTATCAATTGCATAGTTGGATCGGAGGCGCAACAGAATGAGCATCATGTGTAACCGCTTGTATAGGGATACAAATCAGCAAATGATTAGCAAAAGGGTATTAAAAAAAAAGGACAGTTGAGACCTCTAACCTTTAAAATTTCCAATTTAAAATGATAGGTCTCCAAACTCTCCACCATTCCAACATTTGGCCCTAA